CAGAACCTTGACTGCCTGCTCTGCCGAAATTACAACCCCGCTACAGTGGCCCGTTCCAAATTAGCCACATGATCAACCCCGTCAACGCGCACCTCCTGTAACCCGCCGATTGGTACATCAGTTCGTCAATCCACGTTAGCATGTTCCGTCCTAACATCCCAACCACCAATAAATTGCCACAACACCGACCACCGTCAATGACACGCCATGGATCGAACTGTTAAAATCTTAGAAGGGTATGGTCATTAGGTCAACCAAGGTGGGTACAAGGAGTGTCGAGAAAAATTATGTACCCTCTAATGGCTAACCCAATTATAGCCGTCAATCTATGCATATAAGTTTTGACACAAACATATAGTCGAAGCTGGGAAAGTTCTGAGCCATCGAATTCGACATCCATAAGGATCTCGGAGGATCAAATTCCTCTTCCGCGCAGGAAGAGTCTTACCTTAACCAAAGACATCTGGGTGCCCTTGGGCAGCATTAAAAGACACCATGTCCTCCAGTAATACTTACGAAACCAGAGATTTCGCGACTTAGACGAACGGACTTAGCTGAAGGGCTTTTGTGTGTGTGTGTGTGTGTGTGTGTGTGTGAGAGAGAGAGAGAGAGAGAGAGAGAGAGAGAGAGAGAGAGAGAGAGAGAGAGAGAGAGAAAGAGAGAGAGAGAGAGGGGGTAGAATAATGAAATATTTAGGATACCTCTGTCAAAATCTAGCAGCAGGAATGAATGAACTAACAGGATGCAGGAGTACAAGTAGTAAACCCTAATTGGGTTGTACCCCATATGGGCTACCCCACTACAGCCTAAACAATATGCAGCACATATAGTTTGACACACCCCCATAGGCAAACTGGGGGAGAACAAGGGGTCACACGACCAGTCAAGAGAAGCAAAACAAGCTCAGGGTGGATCACAACGTCACCACGCATTCCGAGCACAAGCAAAAGGCCACAGGGCCAGTTCACATGCAGAGATATATATGCAGCAATAACAGTATAGTGATGGCTACCTAGCAAGAGCCAGCATGCAGGTATATATATAGATCACAGTACAAGCAGAGACTACAGCAAGTGTGGAAACGTAGGCACAAGGCCCAACAGAGTACAAAAGCGCTGATGATCACCAGACGGAAGTGCCTTGGTGAATATATCAGCAGTGTTGGCCCGAGTGGCCACGTGGCGAAGACGAAGCTGGCCTCGCTGCTGCAACTCTCGAGCCAGGAAGTAACGCAGAGCAATGTGCTTCGTTCTGTGCTCCAGTCTGTGCTCCTCACACAAGGCAATGGCGGCCTTGTTGTCGACGTACAGCACTGGAGGAGAACGAGGCTGCTCTCCCAAGTCAGTCAGCAGGTAGGTGAGCCAGCGTAACTCCTGTGCAGCCATGGCTGTGGCGTAGATCTCAGCCTCACAACTGGAGCTGAGAACTGAAGACGAACGTGTAGAACGCCACGAAACTGAACCAGAGCCAAGGCTGAAGGTGTAACCCTGTGACGACCGCTGAGTAGCCTGGTCGTCAACCCAAGAAGCGTCTGAGTGTCCAGTGAGGACAACTGGGCTCGTCCCTCCAAGCACTAGCCCCATGCCTGATGTGCTGCACAAGTAGCGCAGTACCCTCTTAGCAGCAGCCATGTGCTCAGGTCGGTGCCGACCAGGAGCCACGTAGCGAGCCAGAAGACCAAGAGGGTACGCGAGGTCAGGTCGAGTGCAAGTCATCAGGTACATGAGGCAGCCGACTAGCTCTGGGTAAGGACCACTCGGCTCTACGGACTCGTCCGAAGGTGGAGCTGAGAGCGTGTGACCTGTAGCCAGAGGAGTGGCCTGTGCTGAAGACCAGGTGAAGCCGAAGCGCTGAAGGACCTGCTGCACCATGTGTGACTGAGTCAAGGTGATGGTGCGACGTGCTCTGTCTCGGGTGATCTGCAAGCCAAGGTAGCTGCGCAGCTCACCCAAGTCTGTGCACGTGTGTCTCTTCTGCAGCTCCGACTTCACGTGGGCGAGAGCCTCAGTGTCAGCAGTGGCAAAAACCAAGTCGTCGACGTACACGAGGATGTAGAACGGCGGCAGGGAAGTGTCGGTGCGCAGAAACAGCGACGGGTCAGCAGTAGAAGGCGCAAACCCAAGAGCCGCAAGCGTAGTCCTCAGTGTGTCGTGCCACTCACGTGGTGCCTGGCGGAGACCGTAGACCGGCCGCCGGAGGCTCCACTGGGTACCAGGAGGGAACGACCCAGTGAAGCCCGGGGGGCGACGCAGCCAGATCTCCTCGTGCAGGCTACCCTGCAAGAAAGCTGTGCTGAAGTCAAGAGAGTGAAGCTCGTAGTCACGGTGAGCAGCAACGTGCAGCAGCACCCGAAGAGTGGTCATCTTCGGTGTGGGGGAGAAGGTCTGGAAGAAGTCAACTCCCTCTCGCTGACTGAAGCCTCGAGCCACGTAACGCGCCTTGAAGACAGGCGGAGAACCCGGCGGCCGCTTCACCCTGAAAATCCACATGCCACTGACGATGTTCGCCCCAGGTGGGGGAACCTCGTCAACGTAGGTGCCTGTGGACTTCCAGGAAGCCATCTCTGCGTCCATGGCTGCCTGCCACTGAGAGGAGTAGGGACCCTCTATCGCCTCTGCGTAAGAGCGCGGAGTCGGGATGTCTGGTGCATCCGGGTCTCCCTCAGGGGCAAGTAGCGAGGACACAAGATGAGGTAAAGCAGCAGCAAGACACTGGAACTCCTCCTGCCTGTCCTCAAGGACGTCCGTGCTAAGAGCACACTCACCCCCGACGGACGGAGGACAGACAGACTCAGACTCAGCAACAAGACTAGCGGCGTAGTCTAGACGACAGGCAGCAGCAAAGTCAACAAGCTCAGCGACCAAGGCAGACGCAGCAGTAGACTCAAACAACGGGTCAGTGACAACAGTGGCTAGAAGACGCGTGACAGTAGGGTGCTCAGTACGAAACCGGTCAGACTCAGGGTCCGGAACGGCAGGCAGAGAGGACGCAAGGGGAGACGGCAGAGGAACAGGCTGTGGAGCAGAGGAAGGACGACGGACAACAAGGTGTGCGCTGGGGACAGCCGGCTGACGCGCACGAGCGACACGACGAACGGTACGACCAGGACGAACAGGCGAGACAGGACGCGACGCAGGCTCACGACGCGTAGCAGGACTGCCTGTCTGCTCAGTGTAAGGAGAGGGAGCAGGTAGCGGTGAGCCAGTCTGTAACGGAAGACCAGTGGACGACGGGAGAGTAACAACCTGACGAAGAGCAGAGTCAGGCGGCGGCAGAGACGACGAAGACGGCGGAGCGAAGAACAGTCGTGTCGGCGCAGCTGCACCAGTACCGGCAGCTCCAGCAGCTCCAGTGCCTCCAGCAGCTCCAGTACCTCCAACAGCTCCCGTACCTCCAGCAGCTCCAGAAGCTCCAGTCCCAGAGCCGACACCCCCAGTCCCAGGGTCTCCAACCTCTGTGTCTCCAGCAGCAGCACCCCCAGAACCAGCACCTCCAGTCCCAGGGTCTCCAGCCTCAGTGTCTCTAGCACGAGCACCTCCAGAACCAGCGACTCCAGCACCTCCAGTAGACAAAGGACCAGCACCACTCCTAGCTCCAGCAGCGCGACGCTGACGGCGACCGTACCAGTCCTGCAGCTGCTGTGGGGTGAGAGGCACACGTGGACGAAGGCGGCTACTCCAAGGAGACCGCGCAACAGCAGACTCAGAACCCTCAGCGCCCGCACCCCCAACGGCTCCAGAACCTCCGGTGTCAGTACCCTCAGCACCAGTACCTCCAGCGGCTCCAGAACCTCCAGCGCGAGCACCCTCAGCAGCTCCAGAACCTCCAGCTCCAGCGCCACCAGTACTAGGCCCTCCAGCAGCTCCCGAACCTCCAGCGCCAGCACCCTCAGTAGCTCCAGAACCTCCAGCGTCAGTACCGCCAAGCTCAGCACCCCCAGACCCCTCACACTCAGGCTCAGCACCACCAGGCTCCACACCCTCAAGCTCCGCACCCTCAGGCTCAGTACCCCCAGGCTCAGCACCACCAGGCTCCGCACCCCCAGGCTCAGCACCCCCAGAAGTAGCACCCCGAGCAGGACCACCCTCAGTAGGACCTGAGTCACCAGTGACCTCAACCGGCGCAGTAAAGGGAGGAGGGTCTACCTGAGAAACACCTGAAGGAGCAGGACCGGGAGCGGGGAGGGGGTCTACCTGGGGAGCACCTGGAGCGAGGAAGAGCGGCGGGGGGGGGAGCGGGGCAGTGCGGTAGGGGAAGAGACGGTAAAAGGGAACCGACTCGTCGAACGTGACGTCCTGAGACGCAAAGACACGGCGCGAGGTGGGGTGATAAAACTGCCAACCAGGCGCGTCAAGGACAAAGCCAAGGAAGACACAGGGAACAGCGCGGGCGGAGAGCTTGTCCGCGGTGGTATCG